TTCCCAAAACATACAACTCCTAAACTGRTCTGAAGCTGGATTTGCTGAAACTGGTATTTGCTGGAGCTGTGTCAGGGCTGAAGAGGATATGAGCAGTATCTGTCCATTGGTTTAATGAAAGATACTCTCCCTATGGAGCTTGCCTCTGTTACCAAATATAAACCTTCAAATTTATAAATAACTATTTTGAGTTATTTCTGAGTTTTGCTGTAGAAAGATTAGATGTAGATAGTGTTCCTACAGAAACACTATTGGGAGGAGCTTCTTGGCAGATTCAAAAGGAAAAAAGCACCAAAAGATCTAGCAGATGCATGTTGGTATTCTGGTACCTTAGTCATGAGAGCCGAGTATGAGAGCATGAGAGACATAACAGAATAACACAAATGTAAAATGCTGAAGTATTTTCACTATCATGTGGCAAACTCAGGTTTAATCAAGTTATAGAAAAAAAAACTTTCCATTTTTTAACATTTTAATTTAACGTTTTTATTTAACTGTCTGTTGCTGAGTCTTACAGAGCAAGAGTGGGTGAAAAGATAAATTTGCAGCTAAAAACTGTGCTAGATTAGTTTTAAGTCTAAGAGTTTAAAGTTTCCAGCCCTGCACAATGTGCCCACAAGACTCCAAGCAAGTCAGCTGCATCTCAGCCTCAGATCTTGACATAAATATCACAGTAGCACAGTCTATAGAAATATATTGACATTTCTGAGACAATTCGCTATGACTTTGATACAGACCCAATAATACCCATTATATATTTCTCCAAATTATCAAAAAAAAATCCCARGTACACTTGGAAATTTAAAAATAATTCCCAGTTTATGTATGTCTAGTTATGTAAGACTATAAAGGATCACTGCAACCTTAATCACAGTTTTGTAGACTGCTGCAGACATAGACCTATAGCTGTAGCTGGATTTCTAGTGCCTCAAGTTCTACCTGATTCGGCTCTTCAACAACCCGCTGGTGAGATGGTTTTTCAGTCTTTCAAAYAATATCTAAGATTGTACAGGCCACATCTCCAATTTTTTGAGAAAACACAAAAGAAAGTATAGGGCTTAGCATTAGTTCAGGAGTGTTGAAATGTTAGAAAAGTGTCATTTGGATCCATTTTATTCCTCTTTATATTAAAAATCAAAAAAAAAACATGAAAGAAAGCAGGGTAAGGAATGTAAACAGTTTTAAAACTCTTAAAAAAAAAAAAAAAGGCTGTAATTCCCTTGAAGACTCTTTCTGTCTGGTTTATTGCTTTGCTAATGTAATGTGCATCCATTATACAGTGAAATACTTTAATTTCATTTGATGTAACATCAGTTTTCTTTGTCCTTATAATAAGCATTTCCTAGCACTGAATTGCACTGACTTGCAGGGTAGGGAGGTAAATCCCAGAACTTTGGCTTCCCAACCCAGAACAAAGGCAAGCAAAGGATTCTTGGGATAGGGTTAATCTCGGCTAACTTAAACATCCACCATATAGTAATATGTAGGTGACCATATTGTCCAGACCACCTTTAGAGCCTACTGAGAGAAATGATGCATTTTGARGACACAGCTTCCAAAGCTGGGAGAGAAGTGGCTTCCCAGAAACTTTTACAAGTGTTCATGGGCAACACTTGATCAAACAAATGCCACTTTGCATTTAGGTGAGGCTGGTGGGTTAATTTGGTTCCTTACTATTCAGTACATTGAAAGACAAATTCTAGATCTAGACTTCAACAAAAATGTATTGTTGACTTGGGTTTGTGTTTTCAGACACTTGTGGAAAAACACTGAAATTCTCTGTTCTGCTTTTTGCTTCATCTTTTAATCATTTTTAATGAGTTGCTTGAAGGTATTTATTTCTGCCTCTTTACTAAGAACACAAATTTCCATAAACAAGACTKGAGGTTTATACCAGCTTCAACAAGAGTTAGTGCACTCACTAATTAACACTACAGGAGCAAGTGCGAGACGTTGAGTACTATGAAGTGCAAAAAGTAAGAAAGGCAGCAGATTTGTTCTCATATCACCATGAGATTTTTAGGGCAGACTGGTTATTTCAACATTACGGTGTTCTCCCACAGATTCACAGATTCACAGAATATTTAAGGTTGGAAGGGACCTCTACAGATCATCTAATCCAACCTTCCTGCTCAAGCAGGCACACCTAMAGCWTGTGGCACAGGGTGRCATCCAGGYGGGTTTTGAAGACCTCCAGAGTAGGAGACTCCACAACCTCCCTGGGCAGCCTGTTCCACTGCTCTGTCACCCTAACAGTAAAGAAGTTGCTCCTCACCTGGAGACGGAACTTCTTGTGCTTCAGCTTGTGGCCATTACCCCTCGTCCTATCACTGGCCACCAGTGAAAACAGCTTGTCCCCTTCCTCCCTGCATTTTCCCTTCCTGAACTTATACACATTAATCATATCCCCTCTGAGCCTTCTCTTCTCCAGAGAAAACAGGCCCAGCTCACTCAGCCTCTCTTCATACGAGAGATGTTCCATTCCCTTAATCATCCTGGTTGCYCTTCTCTGGACCCTCTCGAGAAGCTCCACGTCCCTCCTATACTGGGGTGCCCAGAACTGCACACAGTACTCCAGGTGCGGCCTCACCAGAGCTGAGTAGAGGGGCAGAATCACCTCCCTTGACCTGCTGGCAACACTCCTCCTGATGCAGGCCAGGATCCCATTGGCCTTCTTGGCCACGAGGGCACACTGCTCACTCATGGTTAACTTGGAGTCAACCAGGACTCCCAGGTCCCTCTCCGTGGAGGTGCTCTCCAGCAGGTCAACCCCTAATCTGTACTGATGCCTGGGGTTATTCCTCCCCAGGTGCAGGACCCTGTACTTGTCCTTATTGAACCTCATGAGGTTCCTCTCTGCCCAACTCTCCAGCCTGTCCAGGTCCCTCTGGATGGCAGCACAGCCCTCTGGAGTGTTGGCCACTCCGCCCAGCYTGGTGTCATCYGCAAACTTGCTCAGGGTGCATTCCRTGCCCTCGTCCAGGTCATTGATGAACAAGTTGAACAGCACYRGGCCCAGCACTGACCCCTGGGGAACACCACTGGCCACAGGCCTCCAACTGGACTCGGCCCCATTTATCACTACCCTCTGAGCTCTGCCATCCAGCCAATTCTTGATCCATCTCACTGTGCACTCGTCCAGACCACTCTCCCAGAGCTTTCCTATGAGGATATTATGGGAGAYGGTGTCGAAAGCCTTGCTGAAGTCAAGGTAGACAACACCCACGGCTCTCCCCTCATCCAGCCAGCCAGTCATCCCATCACAGAAGGCTATTAGGCTCATCAGACATGACTTCCCCTTGGTGAATCCATGCTGACTACTCCTGGTCACCTCCTTCTTCTTCATATGCCTAGAGATGCTCTCTAGGATGAGCTGCCCCATCACCTTACCAGGGACAGAAGTGAGGMTGACCGGCCTGTAGTTGTCCAGCTCCTCCCTCTTGACCWTTCTGAAAACTAGAGTGACATTGGTTTCTTCCAGTCCTCCGGCACCTTCCCTGCTCTCCATAATGCTCTCCATAGGGCTCTGTAGTTCATGGGGACCAGTCTTAGCAGTAAAGACAGAGGCAAAGAAGGCATTTAGTAACTCTGCCTCCCTGTCATCCTCTGTCATCAAGGCACTCTCCCTATTCAGCAGTGGAGAATGTTTTCCTAGTCTCCTTCCTGCTGCTGCTCTATTTGTAGAAGCCCCTTCTGTTGTGCCTGATATTCTTGCTGACTCTAATTCCTAATGGGCCTTGGCCTTCCTGCATTGTCCTGCATTGTCTGACATTGTTCCTGGACATTTGTGTCCAGTCCAGTCCATGCCCAGTGTCACGGRCATGACATCCAAAATGTCCCCAGATGATTGTAGATGGTCATGCTTGCATAAATGTAAATTTAGATACCACTGTTCTTCTACAGTACTGGGTTTAGTTAGATACACTAGGCCCTGGAAGCCTTCAAAATACATATGAACATGTTTAGCTTAAGTGTACATTCAGTAGGTAAACTGGATGCATGACCTATTACTGGGGTTCTCCCAATCCTGACTCGAGAGGCCAGCAATCTCTGGGCCAGGAAGGACATGCTTCAAGATCTGGAGGTCCATAGGTGCTGGACACGGTGGTGACCCATGCAGGATCCAGGTGTTATACAATCTGTAAAATTCTTTTTTTTTTTTTCCTCCTATTCATTCCCAGCAAGGAAAAGAGCTACCAATATCACATACCTGGCACCACTGCTTAACACCCCGATTTTGTGCTCGGGCACTGCAGCCGGCCCGGCCGGCCCCGCTGGGCGTTCCTGGCGCCAGGAGCTGGGCAGCGTGTGGGATTCCCTCTTCTCCCAGCTCCACCCTGCCCTTGGCCAGGTCCCGCTCCGCCGTCCTCGTGGGCACCGCAGAGCTGCAGCCTACGTGGGGCAATAAAATCATCGACTGTCATGACCAGCTAGGACGTCCAAACAACAGCCCCCTACCTGAACGCTCAAAATCCTCGGGGCTACAAAAGAAACGTGGTCGCCCGGGGCCCGTCCCCACTTGTTATCCCGCACAGCCCCGCGCCATCCAAGCGACAGCCGCCGAGCGGCTCGGGGTCGCGTGCCCGGGAAGCCGCCGGTTCCCGGTGCCCACGGGGCTGCCGCGGCCGCTCTGCTCCGAGGGCCCCTTCCCACGCGCGCGCCCCGCGGTGTCCCCGCGGTGTCCGCGC